TTTTACTACAGACTGACAGCTGTAATCTAGCATAAATAGAACAAAAAAAGTCATAAGAACAGTAATTTTCATGACACAAACTAGGATGGGTGGCACCAGTGCTGGGAAGGTTAATGCAGTACTGCTGCTGCACAGCCCCTGGGTTTGATTGACACCTTCTGTGTGGAGTATGCATGTTTGTGCATGTGGGGCATGGGTTTTTTCAGACTGCTTTGCCTTCATCTGATAGTCCAAAGACATGCTGTTTAGGTTAACTGGAATCTCTTATTCGACCCATGCGTGTGTGTGTGTGTGCCCTGTGATGAACTGCAGTGTCCTGCTTTGCACCCATTGTCTGCCAGCTCACCACAACCCCATACTAAACAAAGGCATTACTGAAAATGGATGCATACACCGGTTCACGAGACAGAAAATGTCATATCCAAGGCCACACGCCTGCACAGAACAGCAGAAGGCATACCTATTTATTTCTTTTATAGCCCGTTAAAGGCAGGTTTATATTAATGCCTTTGGCATGTGTCCCATTTATTGTGGTACACATAAGGACAGCATGCAGATAAACTCTGGCTCTATGGCTTGTGTGCTCCTAAAAAAAAAAACTCTCCTTATACAGTTCTGTGGTGCAGGTAAAATCATTACATTGTTCAGGTGGGGAGCTGCGTCAGCATGCGTAGGCTGCAAAGGAGCAAGTAAAGGTTTATTCCCTGCTGGAAAGAGAAGAAATCAACATTTCGGCTGTGGAGCCTTCTTCAGGTCTGAATCATTACATTGGACCTGCAAAGATCATGTTCCAATAACCTCTTCAAGCATAACCGGCACCAGAAACACTTGCCCCTAAGCTATTGCTATTTCTCTCATTCAGGTAAGAGGGAAAGCTGGGCTAGTGGTTCCACTCTTAAAAATGTTGGCGTGTGAGTTGGAGGCAGCACCCGGAGTGTGAAATGGCTATAACACACCGCTGCGTGAGCTGTGATCGATAACGCACTGATGCAGGTCCTCACAGCCTTCAACGTCCGCCCAGTGGATTTCTTCAGAATGAACCGTGAAACACCAATCAGAGGGCACAAGTGGAAAGTGCATTTACAGGAGCACCCCTTTACCCAAAGGGCTGTAGGAGTGTGGAGCAAACTACTCACCAAGCTATTGAAGCTGATACCTTGTCTGAAAGAGCCGGCTTGGATTGCTTAACTACCAATTACCAAATGGGCTGAATCCTCTCGCCTGTGAACTTTCTTACTGTATGTGCTTCTACTGGTGGAGTGAACAGGGATATTTGTGGTTAGCCAGGAAAACCCCTTAATTAGGTGGAAAGCTAATTAGACAGGAGCGCTGTGAAAGGGTTTTTACAGGGTTTTTGAGATTCTCAACAAAAAAAAGACCTGTGCTTTCTGACACTGTCACTGTCTCATGGCCTACTGTCAGAAAATTCCACTGAAATGCAAGAAAGAAATTCTTCTATTCTGTTAGTCTACTTTGGGAATATAACTATATTTGTGATCCTAAAGGGCTGCAGTGTAAGGCTGTAGCAAGACTACATCTCCAGCGGTAACATTCTCGGGCCTTCATTCTTCATGCCATTATCAAACGGACAGTGCTTTGCATCCTCTGAGCTGGAACAAGTACAGGTTTATTCCCTGCTGAAAAGAAAAGGAACACAGCATTTCGGCCTTGGAGCCTTCTTCAGGTTTCAAGGTGTCAGGCTCCTCAGCCGAAACTGTGTTTTTCTTCTCTTTCCAGCAGGGATTAAACCTTTACCTGTTCCTTTGCAGCCGACACTTGCTGACGCAGCTGCCTGCTTGAACATCCTCCCAAGTTGTCATTTTCTTTTTTATTCCAGAATATGAGGAATTTTTTTTTGCACAGTTGCGGAATAACAGAGAAACATGGATCAGAAAACTGATTAAGAATGTGGACAGTGGACTGTCCTGTGGGAGTCTGCAACAAGTAACCCACCATCCTTGTGGAAGCACATTCTATATCACATGAAATGTTTGGATGAGGTCCTCAGATCAATTAGCTACGAGCCACCAAACCAGTCAGATGGCCTTCTGTCATTTGAAAGCTCTTATATTTTCCACGTTCTTATAATTCTCTGATGTGATTTCTACACTGTGTGCTTTGCCAACTAAACATGCCATCTGTAAACACCTTTCCAAAGCTGACTTGAGGGGAAGTGTGGCAGGGAGAGACACTGGCACGGCACCCTGCTTCTGAGACGGGCTGATCTGATGTCTGGCAGACCACCCTGGTTTCTCACACCTTCAGCCTTGTGAGATCAATTTCAGGAGGAGTGGAGGAGTAATACAAATGTTCAGTAGAAATTCCAATCAATTAAAAAACTAAACCCCAAACAAAAACAAATTAATGAGAAGAAAAAGCACACAAACTTATTCTATGCCATATATTCATAATATCACATTGAACAAAGATGTCCTATGGAGTGCTTTCTCTCTCTGATCTTCTGTAATAATACTATAAATACCATAAACTGATATAGTGGGTTTCTGGACACTCCACTCAAAGCTCTTTACAGGCAACGAAGACTCCCCCCCACCACCACCAATGTGCAGCCCCACCTGGATGATGC